GACTCTGGTCCCTATCTAACAAAATGAAATTCAATGCAGTAAGGTTTTATACTCTGGCAAGAAAAACCAACTGCATAGGTACAGACTAGGTTTAATGCAGTAACTGTAAGATGGATCTTGGAGTCCTAGTGGACAATCACTTAAATATGAGCCAGCAGTGTGCAGCCGCCACCATAAAAGCCAATACAATCCTAGGCTGAATTTATTAGAGGCATAGTATCACGATTATGTGAATTTCTAGTACTACTTTACAAAGCTTTAGTAAGACCATACTTGGAACATTGGATCCAGTTCTGGTCACCACAATATCTATCTATCTATCTATCTATCTATCTATCTATCTATCTATCTATCTATCTATCTATCTATCTATTTATTCAATTTATATGCCGCCCTTCTCCGGAGACTCAGGGCGGCTTACAATGCGTTAAGCAACAGCCTTCATACTTTTTTTTTTTTATTGAAAAAGTTTTCAAATACAAGTTTTTCCCCCTTTCCCCCCCTCTTCCCTAACCCCCCCTCACCACCCATCCCCCCCTGTGACTTCTTCTTCACAACAATAAGCTAATTCATAATTAATTACATAATATTTTACCATGCCCTTACTCACTCCTCAAAGTACTGACCCTTAGCATAATATTCTTATAACTCTGCTTTTCTCCGCTTTTCGCAATAATCTACCCTTTTTCTCCTCCCCCAAACTTATAAAATATTATTATTATTACAACAACATAACCTTTAATCTTTTATATATATTAATATAACATTTCAAAGCAGCCTTCTCCAAATTTAACATTTATTCAGTTCTATCCAATTCTTCCACTCCCCAAAATATATGACTTAAAAATCCTTTTTCTTAAACTAATCAATCACTAAACTAGCCTATTTCAACCCAGTTTCCTGCAAGATTACCATACACTACAATTCTAAATATAATCCACTGCCCACTCTGCTAAAATATACATATGTCTATATATACATTCCATTTTATAAAAAGAGAAAAGACAATAACTTTAAATTTATAATTCATAAATTTATAAATCCATTTAGTATCTTCTTTGATGTCTTTCCACTAGATTGTTAAATCCATCATCCAAAATAGGGTAACATAGCATCCTGGTGCAACAGTTTATTCAAAATCTTCAGTCATCTTCTGCTCCATCAATAATGAATATCCTCATGTATATATAAAAGTAAAAACAACCACCCGAGTGACATTATAATTATATTCCATATAGTTGTAATTGTGGTTTTCATCAGGATTATAAATTCCCATCATCTTAGTGGGTAACAACCAGATCTTCTGCATGCCCCAGCATAACTCTCTTGCCTTGTAACTCAAAATAGTTATAATATATTTATCGGTAAAAGAAATCCAAAATAGATAGTTCAAATCCAACAATGTAAGGCTCTTTCCACATCCCAAAATCACGGCATTGCAGAGATCTGCCACTTTCCTCAAGATAGTATTAAACGATAATTCGCCTCCAATATCTTTTCACATATTCATTTATTTTTTAAAATCCCTGGCTTCACTGTTGCTTGGTTTAGAAACTACTATTTCTACGAGATCTGTTTCTTTTCTTTTTCTTTTGCGGGTTGCATTTCCATCCAGATTTCCTTCCTACAAGTTGTATATCAGCTGATCGGTTGTCATTCTGCTTTATAAATTGATCTTGTTGGTTTTGTTTTATTATCTCATATGTCTTTTCCATCACTTGTATATCAACTAGTTGATTTACGCACTTGTCTGTAACTTGATAATTCATCACATTAGAATCAGATGACACTGCTCTCAAATTTGTAGACAGTCCAGCTGGGGTATCCAAGGAGTCCGAAGACAGTTTATCTACCACAGCCTCTGTAATTTGATGTTTTCCCTTTATTTCCAGCTCCTTTTGCTTGTCCTGTGTTATGCCTAAAGATGTTAAATTTATTTTTAAAATTTTTTGATAAAATTCTTCCGCTTTTTCGACAGTATTCAGTTGGTATCTTACTCCTTGGTATCTCAATATTAAACCAACTGGGACGTCCCACCTAAATAGAATATTCCTTTTTTTTAACTCATTCACTAGAAAACCAAATTTCTTCCTCTCCATTAACATCTTGGGCGGGAGTTCCTTAAAAATCCAAATCTTTCTTCCACGAAGTTGCAAAGTAGAATTATAAGAATTCTGCACAATATTATTTCTAATTTCTTTGTCTGTAAAATAAATCACCACATCTCTAGGCAATTGCCTTTGTTTTGCCAACCAGGAGTTTATTCTATAAATTCTGTCAATCCTGCAAAACACTTCATCAGGTTGAACCTTTAAAATCCCAGCCAGAATTTCAGAAGATATCTTCCTTAAATCATCTCTGTCATTTTCCTGCAGACCACTCAGTCTAATTGCATATTCTGTAAAATTGTGTTGGATCATTAAAACTTCTCTTTCAATCCTCTATTGTACAATTTCTTCATTACCAGTCTTTTGATCAGCCTCCATTTTAAGTTTGTCTTCTGAACTATTATCCTGAATGTTTGCCAAATCCTTTTTAATTTTTTGGATCTTGTCATCCAAATTCTCCTCAGTTTCTTTCATTTTAGACTCTGATAATTTAGTATTTGCTTCCAACTGAATCACAAAGTCTGCTAAGCCATTAGCTGTTTTTAAAATCTTTCGATCCAAAAAGCCAAACTTAGATTTCACCAATTCACCAATTTCTTTGATTTCCAACTTAAATTTTTCAAGTTTTCCTACTTTTCTATATACCTGCTTAGTAGGGCTTTCGCGCCCCCCCCCCCAAGCGGTGTTCTTTTTTATACAAAGTCAGTTTATTGCCCCTACAATCCGGGTCCTCATTTTACCTACCTCGGAAGGATGGAAGGCTGAGTCAACCTTGAGCCTGGTGAGATTCGAACTCGCAGTAATTGCAGGCATATAAAAAAAGATGTTGAGACTCTGGAAAGAGTGCAGAGAAAAGCAACAAGAATGATTAGGGGGCTGGAGCCTGGAGGCTAAAACATGTAGAAATTGGGCATGCCTAGTCTAACAAAAAGAAGGGGGGGACATGATAGCAATGTTCCAATATTTGAGGGGCTTCTATAAGATGAGGGGGTCAAACTCTTTTCCAAAGCACCAAAAGCCAAGACAAGAAACAATGGATGGAAACCAATCAAGGAGAGAAGCAACCTAGAACTAAGGAGAAATTGCCTAACTAAAAGTAATCAACCAATGGAATAGTTTGCCTTCAGAAGTTGTGGCTGCTCCATCACTTTCAAAAAGAGACTGGATGACCACTAGTCTGAAATGGTGTAGGGATTTCCTGCTTGAGCAGAGGGTTGGACTAGAAGACCTCCAAAGTCCCTTCCAACTCTATAACTCTTTCTATGTTCTAGTTGATATCTGCCCACACCATCAGTTCTTGCGGAAAAGGTATGCTGTGGCTGTTAAGAGACGGGCCTTTTCTGCTGTGGTAGCCATCCTTAATATCCTTCTAGGAGTCTCTTAAAAATTATTTTTATTATTTATTTATTTATTTATTTATTTATTTATTTATTTATTTATTTATTTATTTATTATTTTAATTAGATTTAAATGCCGCCCTATCTCCATAGGACTCAGGGCGGCTCACAAAAATATGGTTGCATGGACAGACTTGGAGATCTCAAGGAACTGGCAAACTAGCAAAGGGGTTGCATTGCGTTTCATATCAAATTCTTCCTTCTAGTCTTTTAATAAAGAAACAGTTTGTCAAAAATTGCATAATGTTTTTCATGTTTGCGGGACCGCCTTCTGCCGCCGATAGCCTCCCACCGACCAGTACACTCCCACAGAGAGGGACTCCTCAGGGCGCCATCAGCCAGGCAATGTCGGCTGGCGACCCCCAGGGGGAGGGCCTTCTCTGTGGCAGCACCAGCCCTCTGGAACGATTTGCCCCCGGAGATACGAAGGATATCGGATCTCCGGGTCTTTCGCTGTGCCCTAAAAACTTTTCTTTTCTATCAAGCAGGGCTGGCGTGAAACCCCCCCCCTTTAATCTTTTTTAGTTTTTTAGCTTTTTAAATTGTCAATGGGTTTTAGTTTGAATTGTTTTAAATTTGGGCCAAAGTGATGTAATTCTTTTAATAATTTTAAGTTTTGTATTGGTATGTGTTTTAGTTCTGGCTGTGCACCGCCCTGAGTCCACTAGGAGAAGGGCGGTATACAAATTGAATAAAATAAATAAATAAATAAATGTTGTTTAGTTTATATCCTGGTTTTTAAAATTTTCTTTAATGCCACACAATCACGTTTTAGAGATGGGTGGCTGTCTAAATATGAGGAATAAGTAAACAATTCTGTCTTCACAGGAGAATAACAGGAACTAGAGGATTAATGTCTTGTATTCGGTAAACTGACGTTTCTCCTCTCCCCACCCCAAGAAAAAGATATGCCTTCATCTTGAAGATGCCACAAGAGCCTTTGAGCGTTTTTATCCAGAGTGAAGATCATTTGGGGCTTCTGACCTGGAACATAGAATCATTTGAAGGAACCTCGGAGGTTTTCTAGTCTAACTCTCCGCTCAAGGAAAGAGAGAGACCTTATACCATCCCAATCAAATACTTGTCCAGTCCATTTCTGAACATCTCCAGTGATGGAGTACCTACAACTCCAGGAAGGAAGCTATTCCATGGATTAATTGTTCTCACGGTTCCTTCACTGCGGCCCTCCTTCCCCCCAGCCCCAAATTAATCCTCCCACTTTTCCCAGCCCCGCAGTTCTGCCTCCCCCTCTCCAAGAGACGGAATTTCTGGAAGATTTTCTGATAGAACTTTCGCTTTCTTACCCCCTCCCCCCCTTCACCTCTTACGCCTGGACGTCTGCCAAGTAATTATGACTACATGTAAATACACTTTTTTTCCGCCTGCTTTTTGAACTTGGCCAATCGCCAGCTTGCTGTGGAATGTGTCTCTGTTAATCAACGGGAGGCATCTCTTTCTTTGCACTTCGACTTCCGGCAAGTGAGGTACGGTTTGAGGATCGCGACCAGGATGGCTCTGCGCTCTGCGCCCCTCTTGCTCCTGGTGTTGGTGGCAGTGGCCCTCCGGGAGAGCTGCTGTGGTGAGTCCCTTCAAGGGCATCTGGGGTTCTGCCTCCTTTTTCTGCTAGTGGGAAATCTCTCTCCACCCCCCCAAAAAGATTATTCTGAAAAAAGATTCGGTTCTCTTTTTAGCCCACTCTGGATGCTTTCAGAACAGGCCTTAAAGGTTGACCGGATTCTGCTGCTGCCACTCTCCCCCCCTCCCAGAACCCTTCTGGGAACAGGACAAGAATCGCCCCTCCAGATGCCAGTCAAGTCTACCAGGGCAACCTCAAGCTCAGTTCTTTTCCTCTTTCAAAGTGGAGGTTGCTGGAAAGCAGTGTTTGCAGGGGATCAGGTCAATTCACAAACTTCCTGGCTGCCTTCGCCCAACCCCTCCGCCTGGGTGGTCTTTCCTGCCTTTTTGAGGGGGGGGGGGCTGTTGGATCCTTATCCTACAGTTGGGTAGATAATATGTACTGTAACTTTAACTGCTACAAGATGACTAATTGATTAAGTGGTTAAAACAGAAATAAAAGGAAGGCAGGAAGTTCATTTATTCCTTCTCACTCCTGCTCGTGATTTACTGCTAAAGATATTGTGATGGTGTTACGGAACTAGAACTGTTAGCAAACTTTGTTTGTATTGAAAGTGTTATCTTTGTTTATGAGAAGCCAGGTTTGTTTGTTTTACAACAAGTAAAGACTATTTATTTTTCTAACAACGTTCAGAGTCTGAGAGTGTCTGTGTTGCAACGCTGTCTGGTCCGTCGCTCTACTCTGCAGAGGGCAGTTTACCCTCAACAGGGGCTTCATGATTTTTTTCTGGCTTCTGGTGCTGGGAGGACCCAGCCCGTTTCTCAGAATGCTTGTGTGCTATATGAAAACTGGGAGGCTAGTGCAATGGAGCAATTGGGTTAAGGTTGCAGTGTGAATGCTGCCCGGTTGGAGTCTAGAGAGAAATGCTCCTTGGAGCAATAATCTTCCTAAAGATCCACCTTTCTTAGAAGAAGTAATGGACAAAGTTACACAGTGTGCCAAAATGGATATGCTAACAAAAGAGTTAAAGGAAAAGGAAGAGACAGAGTACTCCAAAATATGGAAGAAGTGGTATCAATGGCATAACGCCACCACCAAAGGAATACAATTAGAAGAAGGATAGGATAAAAGTGTAAATATGTATATAAATAACTTCCTATGGGCAGATAAATCTGTAGAGGGAAATTTAAAATGAAAGGGATAATCCAAATATATAGTATATAGATTAATAAGGGGGGAATTCTTAGGGGAAGAGAAGAATGGGGAGGGGGAAATGGAAAAAGGAAACTATTAGATTAAGACTAAGGGGAATAAGTACAACTGTACTAATTGAAGGACCAATACAAAACAAATGCTTCAAAAGATTAATTTATTTATATGTTGTTTGTTGTGTAAATGTTTTTATATGTTTTTATATGTGTTTTATATGTGTTTTAATAAAGTTTACAATTTTTTTTTTAAAAAAAGATCCATCTTTCTTGATTTTCATTTTCTTCTCGATTTCCACCCCTGGAAAGGATGTAACTGTGAAAAATGGTCATAAGTCACTTTTTTCAGAGCCGGTGTAACTTTGAACGGTTACTAAACAAACTGCTGTAAGGCGAGGAGTGCCTGTATTTAAAATGTATTGTTATCCCTTAGTAATCAGAAAGTGGTCTTGGGGTGTTTAAAATTTTTAAATTTTAATTGTCAATTCTTTTTTAAATATTTAAATTGGGTAGTTTATTTTAATTATATGGGCCAAACTATTTAATATTTTTAAACTGTTTTTAAATTTTATATTTGTGGGTTTTATGTTGGCTGTACACTGCCCTGAGTCCCTTTGGGAGAAGGGCGGTATATTAATTAATTAATTAATTAAATAATATTTTTCCGGTAGAATGCCCAACAAAAATGCCTCTAGTCTCAGTTCAGTATGTTTCTTTTTTTCCAACCAGATATGTATTTTCGGGGAAAAAAATTTGGCAGGATCTTATTGATTAAATGGGCTGGATTGGAGATAGAAGAAGAGAAGCACCTCTGGATGGTGACCAGAATCAGAATAGAATAGAGCTGGAAGGGATCTTGGAGGTCTTCTAGTCCAGCCCTCTGCTCAAGCAGGAGACCCCATTTCTAACAAAAGTCTGTCCAGTCTTTTCGTAAAGAACTCCAGTAATGAAACATCTACCGTTTCTGACAGCAAGCTGTTCCACTGGTTAATTGTCCTCACTGTTAGGAAGTTTCTCCTTAATTTCAGGTTGCTTCTCTCCTTGATTAGGTTCCATCCATTGTTTCTTGTCCTGCCTTCTGGTGCTTTGGAAAATAAATTAACCTCCTCCATTTTGTGGCAGCCTCTCAAATATTGGAATACTGCTCTCATGTCCCTTCTAGTCCTTCTTTTCTCTAGACTGGCCATACCCCAATCCTGCAACCGTTCTTCCTATGTTTTAGTCTCCAGGGCTTTAATCGTCTTAGTTGCCCTTCTTTGCACTTTTTCCAAAGTCCCAAAGTCTTTTTTTTTGTAATTGGTGAGGACAAGTTTCAGAGAAATAGAAGAAAGTGCTTGAGATTCAGAATAAATCTGGTGCCTCTCTAGTACCTGGGAATTATGGTTTCAGAGCCCTAACTGGGTTGCTGAAATGAAGCAATCTTGGGATAATCACAGTGAGATTTTCTGTGGAATGAGGGGGAGCCCCACTGAATCTGGGGGTCAAAGCCTATGTCCTGCTCAGATGGCTGGACTCTGGGACAGGAGGGGGAGTTTCCCAGCTGGTGAAGGCCGAGGAAAAAGATTGAGGGGGGCTGTGTGTCTTCAATGTTGCTCCCCTTTGACTGCCGACATCTCCCAGGCAAGCAGTTTTGAGTTTCCCTCAAGGATCCCATGGCCTCTCCCCCTTCCCCTCCCCAATTTTATAAAATCTCCCCTCAAATCTGCACCTATTAATAATCCATGCTGGCACCCAGTGAAGTGAGAAAGATTTTTTCTTTCTGTGACTGGAAACTTGGGGAGACCAGGGGTTTCTGCTGCTTTTGAGCTTCCGGGGATGGAGCGCCCGTTCTTCTTGTGGGGCCACTGCAGCCTCCTTGGGGCAGAGACTGAGCAGTGCAGAAGAAAGTTTGAAGGAGGCCTTGCTGGAAGGGTGGAGGGCACAACTGGAGGGGAGCACGTAAAGTTTGGGGCTCCTGCTCTCTCTGCTTTCCTGCTTTCCCTTCCCTTCCTTTTTCTCCCCCAACCTTTCTGCCCTCCAGAAGATGCTCCTTTGTCCCTCGGTTGTTCCCTCTTTCCACCCTCTATTTTTCTTTCTCTCCCATCATCTCCCCCTTTATTTCCCCTTCCTCCTCTGCTCCCCAGCTCCCTTCCTTCTTCCTTCTTCAGTCCTTGACTGAAGCCCCCTAACTTTTCCCCTCTGGCTCCCTTCCAGGCACCTCCCCCCACTCCCTGAAGTATTTCATCACCGCCATCTCAGAGCCCACTCAGGGGCTGCCTCACTTTGTGTCTATGGGGTTTGTGGATGATCAACTCTTCAGTTCCTACGACAGCAACAGCCAGAGGGAGAAGCCTCGAGTCCCCTGGATGGAGAAAGTGGGGAAGGAGAACCCCCAGTACTGGGACACTCAGACCCAGATATTACATGGCCAAGAGGAGCCTTTCAGGGAAAGCCTGGAGAATCTGAGGAGCCGCTACAATCAGAGCGAAGGTGAGTGACGGCTCGAGTGGCTCCTCCTGCCCCATATTTCCCACCCACCCACCCACCTCGGATCCAGGGGGTGGAGAGAAAAGTGAGGTTCTTTCAAAGGGAAAATTTTAAAATGTGCTTATTCTTTTTTTAAAATCAATATAAGATTGTCCTTGCCTCCATAGTTGACATTTTCTGCCAGTTGCAGTCAAGAAAACATGTTTAAAGTGTCCATCTATCTTTCTGAATATTGATATTGATATAAATGCAGGTAAAAAAAGAGACCAAAATCTCCACTCCCCCATGAAAGTTGGTATTTATAAAATAAAGCAGGTGGATCCTAAGAAGATCCTGGTGGAAGCAAGTCCTTGTCCTTCTAACGGTAACCGTAACAGAGTTGGGAGGGACCTTGGAGGTCATCCTGCTCACGCAGGAGACCTATACTAGGGATTCGAACCGCCGAACTGCCGACCTTTCTGATAGACAAGCTCAGCATCTTAGCCACTGAGCCACCTAGCCAGTCTGTTTGCACCAGGGGTGGGTTCTAATTTTTTTTAACTTCCGGTTCTGTGGGCGTGGCTTATTTTGTGGGCGTGTCTTGGTGGGGAGGGTAATGTGACTGGGTGGGCGTGGCCAACTTTTTTTTTTTTTTTTACTTTTAGAAGCATTTTTTCTACAACCTTAAGAGGTTGCAGAAAAAAATGCTTTTAGAAGCCTCTGACGATCAGGCAACTCAGCTGGGATCGCCAGAAGCTTTTAAAGGCATTTTAAAAGTTTTTTTTAAAAAAAGCCTCTGATGAGGTGGGTGGGGTAAGCAAGTGGCGACCGGGCCGGGGGCCGGTTTGGGGGCGTGGCCAGCCAATGTTATTACCGGTTCTCCGAACTACTACAAATTTTTACTACCGGTTCTTGCGAACCGGTGCGAACCAGGAGGAACCCACCACTGATTTGCACCCCAGAGAAATGAGGGATCAACTGCTGATCCACCTGTGATTACCCTTTCCTTCTCCCCATTTTTTGAGGGTGGAGTGGGGCCAAAATGCCAGGAGCTTCTTCTCATCCTCCAGTTGGAAGGAGACCAAATAAGGTGGCGGCTCTTGGAATGGGGGGGGGCACAGGGCCACTTCCAGGATCCTCCCAATCTTGAGTGGGGAGGACCAAAAAGAAAAAACCCTCCATTTGAGGCCAGAGCAGCGCTGAAATCTGAACCGGGTTACTACCGGTTCCTGGCTGTGCATGCGCAGTGTGCATCACACACCAAGTGCAAGGTGCGCATGCGCAGTGCACGCCAAAAGGAGGCATGCGATTGTATTGATGTTGTCATTTTGTAAGCCGCCTTGAGTCCCTAGGGAGAAAGGCGGCATATAAATCGCAATAAATAAATAAATAAATAAGTAGAATAGCGCACGAGGGGGGGTGATCAGCTGTGGCGTGCGCAATCTTTTTTTTTTACTTTTAAAAGCATTTTTTCTACAACCTCTTTGGCCAAAGTGATTGTAGACTTGAACACTTGAGAGAAAACGGGGGTGTTAGTGCCTCCCTCCAGGGTCAAAGTCCCTGTCCATCTTGGAGGATTCCCCAAACTATCATCTTTTCCCTATTTCAGGGCTTCATGTAATACAGTGGATGTACGGCTGTGAGCTCCGGGGAGACGGGAGCAAAGGAGGTTTTCACCAGTTTGGTTATGATGGGAGGACCTTCATCACCTTCGACAAGGAGACCCTCACCTGGGTGGCTTCCGACCCCCAGGCCCAGATCACCCAGAGGAAATGGGATGCTTTTCCAAGATTTAATCAGGGAAAGAAGTTCTACCTGGAGAAAATCTGCATTAAGTGGCTGGAGAAGTTCCTTTCCTATGGGAATGAGACGCTGCTGAGGACAGGTGAGCATCTGGATCCAGGCTGGGCTTTCCTCATTTATGGCTGGATTTCTTGTGCACATTCAGCCCCTTTGGGTCCCTTTTCTAGAGCCTGTCCATCTCCTGAAGGGAACAGCCCAAGATCAGTCAGAGTTCAAAGCAGTCAGAGCTGAATTTCCTTGGACCCTCAATTTGCTGCTGGAGGTTTTTCAGGCTGAGTCCCTGGGAAGGACTCAAAATCAGGAGTCCTTGTGGTTGAGCATTTTCCGGATTTGGAGCATTTCCTAAAACTCTTGGAGATGCTGCAGGTGTGGAGTGGGAAAAAGTAAGAGATTTTCCTGCCCTTTCAAGTTTCTCATCTACCTTCCAGGTTTTGGAGGGGCTCAGGGTTAATTCTGGGGGTGCTGTTTCCTCAGAGCCCCCAGTGGTGACAGTGACCAAAAGGACGGAGGCCGAGGATGGGATGGAGACACACGTCTGCCGCATGGATGGCTTCTACCCCAGGGAAATTGATGCCTCCTGGAGGAGGGATGGGGAGGTCTGGGAGGAGGAAACCTTCCATGGGTCTGTGGCCCCCAACTCAAATGGAACCTACCACTACTGGCTCAGCATCCGGATTGATCCCAAAGAGAGGGGCCGCTATCGATGCCACGTGGAGCACGACAGCCTGCAGGAGTCTCTGGACGTGGCCCTGAAAGGTGAGAGGCTGCGGGGAGGGAAAGGCTGGACTGTTTTTCTGGCTGGAGGGTTGTGGGAGTGTGCCAGCCATCCCAACTAGGACATTCAGTAAAGAAGAATAGAATACTTTATTGTCACTTTGAATGTACACTAATTGGCATGCATTAAAATTATTATTTTTTAAATTATTATTCGTTCGATTTATATGCCGCCCTTCTCCGGAGACTCAGGGCGGCTTACAATGCATTAAGCAATAGCCTTCATACTTTTGTCTATACCTGCTTAGTAGGGCTTTTTGGTCCCCCCCCAAGCAGTGTTCTATTTTATACAAAGTCAGCTTATTGCCCCCACAAACCGGGTCCTCGTTTTACCTACCTCGAAAGGATGGAAGGCTGAGTCAACCTTGAGCCTGGTGAGAATTGAACTCGCAGTAATTGCAGGCAGCTGGCAGCTAAGTGCTACTTTAACAGCAGCAGTTTAGTCTGCTCCGCCGCCAGGCTCCTAAAAATGAAATTACGTTGCATACAGCTCCTAAATATCTGTTTACGAGGTGTCCAGATGTGAGCAATACCTGAGCTTTTAATCCACTGGTTTCTCTGCTAACAAGGCTTTCCTTCTGCAAAAAAGAAAATGTTACCTTGTGTTGCTGCACGCACTATTACACACACTATTTTATGGCCAAGGATCGATGGGAATTCTCGAGGCTCAGCATAAAATCAAAGGAGAATAGCTCTCAAAGAACTCTGCATATGCTCCAGTCTTCCTTGGGATTAAAGGAACTTTTTATTTTATTTTATTATTATTTTATTCCTGCCTTTATTATTTATTCAAATAACTCAAGGCAACAAAAATGTCCAACACACCTTCCTCCTCCTATTTTCCCCACAACAACAACCCTGTGATGTAGGATCAGGTTGACCCGAGGTCATCCAGCAGGCTTTCAGGGCTAAGGCAGGACTTGAACTCACATGATCAATCTCAACCGGAAAAGCCATTTCCAAAAGAAGGAGGTTTTTGGAGGATTTTCAGTGCCAGTCACGCATACCAATAGATTTTTTCTGGCTGAATTGTGACTCTCTAATCAAATAAAAATTCTGAGTTAAGAAAAATAAAAGTGATGCACAGAACTGCCTGATTCCATACCGGAGTCCTGACACTTTGAGGAAGCCTATTAAAAAAAGGACAAATTGTTTTTCTGGTTTCATGAAGATTAATTATGTTGTTATATTGTTGAAGTTTTAATTTCTGCAAAGTCACAAGATTACAAACTTCTGCTTTTGAGCTGAGCAGCTAAAGAGGAACGTCAGCTGCCTTCACGAGCTGCCCTTACGAGGGGAAGAAAGGCGTCATCATGCTATCTTTAGAGATGGCCATGAAGATGAATCCTTCAGACTTTTTAATTTAGGAAATTCTCAGTCCTTTGGCTGAGAAATTCCCAGTGTCTCCCCTATTGGGATGATTGTTTGGGGTTCCCCTTCAATTATCTGCTCTTTCTCCCAAATCAGAACCAAAATCCAACCTGGGGCTCATCATCGGCTGCGTTGTGACTGCTCTTGTCCTGGTGGGTCTTATTGCTGGGATCCTGGTATTCTTCAGTAAGTATCTTTTGTGGGGTGAGGTGATGGAAGGAAGATGGGGAGATTTCTCCCAAGTCTCTCCCTTTGGGAAGCTTCTTCTGGGTTTCCTTCTGTCCTGTTTTCCTAGCCCTCTTGGGGAGCATCTGAGATCTCAGCCTCTTGCTGGGACTCCAGTCTCGATTCAGCTGAATCTGAGAGTCAGGCAGTCCTGTCTTCTTCTGAGCTGGGAGAGGCATCCCAGTTCTGTCCCTTTCAAAGGCTTTGGTCAAAGAGCAGCAGAGTGTTGTGGCCCGTCAGCAGCCTGTGCAGATTGTAGCTAATTCTGACAACGAGGAGGCTGGTGTGGTGCTGCGCCAGCAGCCTGTGCAGCTGGTGCGCGAGTCGGACAGTGAGGAGGCTGGAGAAGATGTGGTGCCAGAGGCGGGGATTCAGCCAGGGCCTTCAGAACCTCCAGAAGCTCCCTTAAATGAAGAGGACAAAGAGGAGGAGCCTCTTCTCAATGCACGGGCGCGGAGAGCTGCCAAAAGGCAGGAGTGGCTCCTCAGGAGGAGGTCTCCTCAAGAGTAAGGCTTAGGGCTAATTGGCCACTCCCTTAGCCTATTTAAGGATGAATGCCGATTGCAGCAAGCTATAGGGAACAACTTTAGTTCATTCTCCTTAGCGTTTGGAGTCTCTGCAAAATTGCTTCTGGGCTTTCTGCCAACTCTAGTAAGATTGTGATTACCTTATTTTAGGATTCTTGTAGGCTGTTAAAAAAGATTATTAACAGCCTTTGTTTGAAAAAGACTGAGTTATTTTAGTAAATTAAGTTTCGTACAGACTTTGTGTGTACTGCGTTCTTTGGGGTCTGTAGCTGGGGCAGAACACAGAGAAGGATTTAGATGAAAATCTTCCTCCCCTCCCAGTTGCTTCTGCTGCTTCCCCCAATTCCCCTCCATCCATTTCAGAGGAAGCAGGTCTGTCTTGAGGCAAATCAGGAGATACATTTGTATTTTGAAGATCTTTCTGTCTTTGTTAATGGGGCAAACTGTGTGTGAAATATCTCCTGGGGTTGTTCATCATAAGGTGGGAGAGATTGGATGATCTCCAGTGGATTCTTTTAATCTTTCACTGATTTTTATCCTTGCAGAAAGACGTCAAAATGACTACAATGCACCACTAAGTGAGTGATTTGTCCTATTTTCATGTAATCTCCAATTTAGAGCAGGGACCTGGGCAGGGGTGGGTTCTACCTACCTTTACTACTGGTTCGCAACAGGGCCGCGCATGTGTGCTCACTTTGCTCGTGTGTGCACTCTTCTGCACATGTGCAGAAGTTTCTGCGCATGTGCAGAAGCGTTCTGGTGATGTTGGGGTAGGTGGGCGGAGTCTCCCGCCGGTTTTTCTACCGGTTCTATAGAACCGGTACAAACTGGGGGCAACCCACCATTGGATCTGGGTCCAGGGACACCAACAGTTGAGATGTGTGTATGTGTTTAAACGCAAAAGAATCTCATGAAGCTGCGGAACTGTGCTATCTTCTGTTGTGGCTCCGTTGCCTGAGCCTGGGCTATCGACAGATGCAGACTCTGAGAATGAGGGAGAGGAGTTGGCAAGGCCTCCCTCTCCAGGACCCTCCTCTCTGGCAATGCCTCCGGAGGACACCGAAGGCCAAGAGATAGGCCCAGAGCCAAGCACGTCCCCGCAGCCACAGGTGGACAGCGACAAAGGAGATAAGTGCTGGCTGGAGCCTCGGCAGAGGCGCAAGGAGAAGCGTGCACAGCAGAGGGGAAGGCGTGCCAGAGATTAGCTGAGTCACTGGACCACACCCCACAGGGTATAAATGTGGGTGTGGTGGCCGGTTCAGTTTGTGACAAGCAAAAACTAGAAATAATCCATGATCTCTGCGTTACTGGACTTCTGCTTGCCTTGTCGGACTGCATTTGGACTAATCCTTGTATTGCTGAAACTTTGCCTGATTTATCGGAATGTTTGCAGTCTAATCTTTGTTTTGTGTGAAGTCTGAATTGGCAGCTAGCCACTGGGTTGCTGCCAGCTTTATCTTCAAAGATTTTGTCATGTGGCTTATTAACTCCGGGCCGTCTGTGGGGTGCATGTGTGGGACGGGGACAGAACATCTTCCTCTTCCTGCTAAGAACAGGAAGATGGGCCAGATTTTCATTACAGCCACGTTATTCTTGGGAGTTGAGACCCCAAGGAGGAACTTCTGGTATGAGAAACCCTCAAGAAGGTGAGAAGACATGGCTGGGGGGAAGATCCCTCTGGTTGAGAAGCAGTTCTGGAAAGGAAAAGCTTGGCTGTAAGATGGTCAGGAAGTTCTCTAAAAGTAGTAATCAAAAGAAGGTATTTTGAGAGAAAAGGAGCTTTGGGGGGGGATGCCAGCTGAATCTCCTCTTGGTCTCCCATCATAAGGCTCTCTAAGTAGGAACTGGTTGGAGAAAGAAACTGAGGAGCCATCTCTATTCTCACATCAGCTGTGCCCTCTGGCTGAAGAATTGAGGCACTATTGCTCTGTGACCAAGTGACAAAGGATCAAATTGCTTAACGCACTGTAAGCCGCCCTGAGTCTCCGGAGAAGGGCGGCATATAAATCAAATTAAAAAAAAAAAAATGGTTCAGACCAGGGTAAGTTGGAGGGAGCTGCTTCTTCTGCTGCATGAGCCATTCTGTCCCTTTGCAAGACTTTGGGTGGATGGAGAGATGAAAAGAGGGAGAGGCTTCCACTTTTAAATGGCCCTCCAAAGTCATCCTCCCTGTGTTCCCTCTGTGTCCAGTTCTGGTGAAATAATTAAAATAGAGTCAGTTTCAGGGGTGAAATTCAGTAGGTTCTGACAGGTTCTGAAGAACCGGTAGCGGAAATTTTGAGTAGTTCAGAGAACTGGCAAATACCACCTCTGGCTGGCCCTAGAATGGGGAAAAACTGGGGATTTTGCAGTATCCTTCCCCTGGAGTGGAGTGGGAATGGAGTATCCTTCCCCTGCCACACCTACCAAGCCACGCCCACCAAGCCACACCATGCCCACCAAGCCATGCCTACAGAACGTGTAGTAAAAAAATTTGGACTTCACCACTGGTCAGTTTGGTTTAATGTGAGGGCACCACGTGAGACTAACTGAGGGATGAGGTCTAGTCCCACCTTAGGCATGAAAGCCAGCTGGGTGTCACAAAATTCACTTTCCTTGCATTGGTTTGTTCCTGAGAATAGAATAGAATAGAATAGAATAGAATAGAATAGAATAGAATAGAATAGAATAGAATAGAATAGAATAGAATAGAATTTTTTATTGGCCAAGTGTGATTGGACACACAAGGAATTTGTCTTGGTGCGTATGCTCTCAGTGTACATAAAAAGAAAAGATACATTTGTCAAGAATCATAAGGTACAGCACTTAATGTCATAGGGTCAAATAAGCAATCAGGAAACAATATCAATATAAATCGTAAGGATGCAAGCAACAAAGTTACAGTCATACAGTCATAAGTGGAGGGAGATGGGAACGATGTGGGAATGATGAGAAGATTAATAGTAGTGCAGACTTAGTAAATAGTTTGACAGTGTTGAGGGAATTATTTGTTTAGTAGTGATGGCGTTCGGGGAAAAAACTGTTCTTGTGTCTAGTTGTTCTGGTGTGCAGTCCTCTATGGTGTCGTTTTGAGGGTAGGAGCTGAAACAGTTTATGTACAGGATGCGAGGGGTCTGTAAATATTTTCACAGCCCTCTTTTTCACTCATGCAGTGTACAGGTCCTCCATGGAAGGCAGGTTGGTAGCAATGAGGAGGAAAAGGGAAACTCCCTGTGGGATTTAGGCAGGGGAGGAAGCCCAGAGTCTACATGGTGAAGCCTTGAGGAAATTCTTTGCAGAGAAACAGGGAAACCACTAGTAATGCCAGTGACTCCCCACTGGTTAGAGACTCTGCTGGTGGCATAGCTGAGACCTGACTGACTCTGGAAGGGGGATCCAGTCTGGAAAGTGTTTAGGTTTTGGAACCTCTTTTGACTTTCACAGGCTTTGGTCCCCACGTTTCTGGTTATGGCTCCCTGTTTCTGAAACTGGGATCAGTTGGGCTTGTTGCTGTTGTATCAGCCTCCCTGCCTGAATACCAGAGATCTTTTTGCAGTTGGCATGGAATTCCCCAGGATTACGGTCTTGGGAGACTTCAATCTGCCATCCCTGGGTTTCGCCTTGGAAGCGTTCCATGGCCACCATGGCTGACATGGGCCTCTCCCAGATCATCTTGGACCCAACTCACGAAGCTGAGAGGTTGAATGGTGAAGAGAGAGAAAGGATTAGGACAAGGCCGAGACCCACCCTCTGTGTCTTTCTCTCCAATGCAGGGAGCAACCAGGCCATTTAGCAACCCTCTGCCAGGTAAGTGGCCTCACTGGGGGCTCCCACTGAGGGGAGAGGGTGGATGGGAGGGGAGGCCTTTGAGGTCAAATGACCAGTTGATAGTGAAGATACTTCGGGAAATCCCTCTTCTCTCTCCTGTTCATGTCAAACATTGCAAGGTAAGGAATTTGGGGCAGACGCATTGGGGCTTGGGTGTGTCTTCCTGTCCCCAGATATCCCGAGAGGCCAGATTGTGGCCCATGTAAGGATCTGATGGTTTTGGATCAGGAGGCTCAGAGACCTGCAAAGAGGAGACATGTGTCCCCAATGTAAGGGAAAGGGAGGGGGCAAATGAGGGGCTTCCTGAGGGTCCTGCAGTCATGAATGGAGGGGAGGAAGGGGGGGTGTCTCTCTGGAGGCCATGAATCCATTTGCACTTGTGTGTGGGGGCAACATGGACTTGAATTGAACATGTATTTGAGAGGAGGCATCCATACATGTGAGGCAGGTTCTCACCCACCTCAGGAGCCAATCCCAGCCCTGCACCGCCCCTCGGGTAACTCTGGAAATGCCACCCAGCTGATCCCTCTTGAGGTTGCTGCTTCTGCTCCTTCACAGGGCTGATCTTTGCTGATCCCTCAGCCTGGACTGTGAGGTTCTTCTTCTTGGCTCCCCCCCAGACTGACCCTGCCTGCTTCTTCCCTCTCTTTGCAGCACGAGTGGACAGTCCCAGCATGAGGAGAGAGGAGAGAAGATGGGACCAACCTTCTCCTGAATTAGGCCGGACTCTCAGGCCCATCCTGCATGCTTGGAACCAGGATGCATTTGGGGTCTTTCACCATCGCTTCTATCATTGGATCAGTAACCTTTTGTATTACGATTGAGGAACGGAGGAAAAAAGAAAATCTTTTTGGTAATTGTGGAATCAAAAGGATTCAAATTGGATTCTATAGATATCATTTTATTTTTTATTTATTTGTATCATGCTGAAGATATTGAAGATATCCAACACACCTTCCACCTCCTATTTTCCCCACAACAACAACCCTGTGAGGCAGTGGTGGGTTTCAATTTTTTTTTACTACCGGTTCTGTGGGTGTGGCTTGGTGGATGTGGCATTGTGTGGTGGGCGTGGCTTGGTGAGCGTGGCAGGGGAAGGATACTGCAAAATCCTCATTCCCTCTCCACTCCTGGGGGAAGGATATTGCAAAATCTCCATTCCCACCCCACTCTGGGGCCAGCCAGAGGTGGTATTTGCCAGTTCTCTGAACTACTCAAAATTTCCGCTGCAGTTCTCCAAACTGCTCAAAATTTCTACTACCCGTTCTCCAGAACCTGTCAGAACCTGCTGGATTTCACCCCTGATATATAGTATGAATAATGTGTAATAGAAAAAATATTTCTTTTTGAGATTTATGCCATTAATTAAGTTTGCCAAAATTCTTTGTTGAAAATAAATGCTTTTATTTTCTTCCCGCTTGAGTTGCTGCCTGTTTTGGGAGATTGGAAATAGGAGGGATTTTACTCTCCTTGTTTATCAGAGACCTTGATTTCACTTTGAGTGGTAAGAAGAGGAGCAATCAAGCAAAACCTTTCCCCCTAACCATTGCACACATACTGTAAGAATACCAAAATTGTTTGAGGAAAATAAATGGTTTTGATCTCTTCTCATCTGAGTTGCTGTTTGCTATTGGAAGATGGAAATGGTAAGGATTCCCCCCACCCCACCCTTGTTGATCAGAGTCCCCGATTTCACTTTGAATGGTAAGAAGAAGAGAAACTGTTAAGTTGGGTGAATGAGGACGCAGCAAACCAGGCAGTGAGTGACAACAGCTCTTTATTGCAGGGTGAGAACCCAGCGACTGACCAGGGGAAACCTTGCAGCTGTGGTGGTCAGCCAATCAGGTGACGGTCAGTTAATTCAAACTGCCCGCCCAAAATCTCATACATAACAGAAACCAAGGCAAAACCTGGAAGGAGTGAGAACTGGGGTAGCTCCTGTGTGGTCCTTTGGAGAGGAGGCAGCCATTTTGTTCCTGTGTCCAGATGTTTCTCCAGCATCACCAGCTGATCTTCCGTAAAATGGCCATTTGGTCTTGGTTTGGTGGTGACAACAACAGAGGCTGCTTTCCCTTAAATCCACCTTTGCCTCAGGCTGTGTGCCAAATGGCTGGTCTCTGAGCCTCATCCAGTGGCCCTTTGGGAGACAGGAGTTCAATGCCCAGCCAGAGCCGTCCTGGTCCCCCTGCAGAAGGGCAGTTTCTCAGAGATCCTCTTTGGGCCCTTCAGCTGCCCAATAAGAGTGGAAAGACCCTTAATTGATGGGAAAGATGTCCCCATATTACAGTGGTTCTTTCTGGGCGAGGTAGAGCGAAAAGTGTTGGGACTTTCACCCCAATTCATTTTGGGCTTCCCAGATGCCTTCAAGAGCTGGCCATCTTTGAGCCTAAAAAGCCATCTTCAGGTGCCCAACCCAAGGTTCATAAGCCACATGCAGCCTTGGAGAGTTAGTAATCTAGTAATCAGAGCCAGTCATCTATGAAAATTAATAGACAATTAAATGGTTAACTAATAAATAGCATATGTATTATCAGTAAGTGAAATGGAAATAAAGATAAATTATATATAAAAAAAAAGAAAATTTGGCTTTCCAACTGTGCTGAGAAAATGGTTGACATATAAGTTGGGCAAAGAAAAAGAAAAGAAACTAAAATTTACCTGTCAAAAGGAGAACAGAACAGAGATCCTATTGGTCATTGCCTAGCAACAGATTAAACATTCCAATGAGTGGCAGTTGGGTGCAGCCTATAGAAGAGGTTGGGCTGGCTTTCTTCTCTTTGCTGAAAACAACATTTAGCTCAGGTGTGTCTGAATTTCACTCTTGAACCTTAGACGCTTGGACCTGCTGACAACCTTAAGACCTTGGACCAACTTTAGATGACTCTTGGAACCTTTGCTTTGAAAAACATGTTTTGCAGGCAAGGCTTTGCTTTGGCTGACATTGTTGGGGACATTTCTATTACCTGAAAATAAAACTGATATATATAAAATACAGAAAAATGTGGAATAGGCAGCACCACCAGCAAATGGGCTTGTAATTTGCTGACAAATCGTACCCAATGTGTGATCCTTAATGGAACTATATCGACAGGGAAGGAAGGAAGCAGTGGGGTACCCCAAGTTTTAGGCCCAGTACTCTTCAATATCTTCATAATATGACTTAGATGAGGGAATAGAAGGGAAATTCATCAACTTTGCCGATGACACCCAGATGGTAGGAATAGCCAACCTCCCAGGAGACAAGCTCAGGATCCAAAAAGATCTTGACAGATGTGAACATTGGGCCCTATCTAAGAAAATGAAACTCAACGTAGACAAAAGTAAGGTTTTATACTTCGGCAAGAAAAACCAACTGCAAAGGTAGAGACCAGTGGTGTGATTCATTTTTTTTTTTACTACCGGTTCTGTGGGCATGGGTTGGTGGGCATGCCATGGCTTGGTGGGCGTGGCAGGGAAAGGATACTGTAAAATCTCCATTCCCTCCCCACTTCAGGGGAAGGTTATTGCAAAATCCCCATTTCCTCCCGATCAGCTGGGACTCGGGAGGCAGAGAATAGATGAGAGCGGGGCCAGTCAGAGGTGGTATTTACCGGTTCTCCGAACTACTCAAAATTTCTGCTACCGGTTCTCCAGAACCGGTCAGAACCTGCTTAAACCCACCTCTGGTACAGACTAGGTGAAACTTGGTTTAATGCCAGTAACTATGAGAGGGATCTTGGAGTCCTTGCGGACAATTACTTAAATATGAGCCAGCAGTGTGCACCAGCAGCCAAAAAAGCCAATGCAATCCTAGGCTGCATTAAATAGAAGTGTAGAAACAAGATTGCGTAAACTTCTAATACTGCTTTACAAAGGCTTAGTAAGACCACAATTGGAATACTGCATCTAGATCGGGTCACCCCCAATATAAAAAAGATGTTGAGCCTCTGGAAAGAGTGCACAGAAGAGTAACAAGAATGATTAGGGGGCTGGAGGCTAAAACATAGGACGGTTATAGGAATTGGGCATGTCTAGTCTAAAGAAAATAAGGACTAGTGGGGACATGATAGCAGGGGTGAAATGTAAAATCTGTTAGTACCGGTTCTGTGGGTGTCGCTTGGTGGGGGGGGTGGTAATGTGACTGGGTGGGCGTGGCTAACTTTTTTTTTTAACTTTTCAAAGCATTTTTTCTAATGCTTTGAAAAATAAATAAATAAATAAATAAATAAATAAATAAATAAATAAATAAATAAATAAATAAATAAATAAATAAATAATTTTATTTCTATACCGTCCTTCTCCCGAAGGACTCAGGGCAGTGAACAGCCTATTTAAAAACAGAATAAACATCAATTTAAAATAATTTAAAAGTATTAAATAAATTTGGCTTAATTTAAAACCCCCAAAATTTAAAACATCCAATTAAAAATTATGTTGCTAACCCAACCTGGCGGAACAATAGGGTCTTGAGTGCGCAGCGAAATACCCGGAGGTCAGAAATTTTATGAATTTCCGGGGGCAGTTCATTCCACAGGGCTGGGGCTCCCACAGAGAAGGCCCTCCCCCTGGGTGTCGCCAGCCGATGGCACCCTGAGGAGACCCTCTATGTGGGAGCGGACTGGCCTGTGGGAGGCTATTGGTGGCAGAAGACGGTCTCAAAGGTACCCGGGTCCTATGCCATGGAGCGCTTTAAAGGTGGTGACCAACACCTTGAATCGCACCCGGAAGACCACTGGGAGCCAGTGCAGCTCACGCAGGAGGGGTGTCACGTGGGCGCAACGGGTTGCACCCATAACCACCCGCGCGGCCGCATTCTGGACCAGTTGGAGCCTCCGAGTGCTCTTCAAGGGGAGCCCCATGTAGAGAGCATTGCAATAGTCCAACCGGGAGGTAACAAGGGCGTGAGTGACTGTGTGCAGGGCGTCCCGATCCAGAAAGGGCTGCAACTGGCGAATCAGGCGGACCTGATAAAAGGCCCCCTGGCCACGGCCATCATATGTTCTTCTAAAGACAGCCGTGCGTCCAGGAGGACACCCAGATTGCGAGCCCTCTCTGCCGATCAGGAACTCAGCTGGGATCGTCAGAGACTTTTCAAAGCATTTTTTTACCACTTCTTCAGTCAAGAGGTTGCAGAAAAAAATGTTTTGAAAAGCCTCTGATGATCCCAGCTGAGCCGCGTGATCATCAGAGGCTTTTTTTTTTAACTTTTAAAAGCATTTTTTCATCGGAAGAGGTTGTAGAAAAAATGCTTTTAAAAGTTAAAAAAAACCCTCTGATGATTGTGCGGCTCAGCTGGGCATGGTGGTGGTGGCATGGGGCAGGGATTTTTGCTACCGGTTCTCCGAACCACCCACCGACATCGCTACCGGATCGGGCGATCCGGTCCGAACCAGGAGCATTTCACCCCTGCATGATAGCAATGCTCCAATATTTGAAGGGCTCCTACAAAGATGACGGGGTCAAACTATTTTTCAAAGCACCAAGAGACAAGGCAAAAAAACGATGGAAACTATCCAAGGAGAGAAGTGAAGGATCAAATGATGGAACGTATGTACAGATGAGGCCCTGGGGATCAGAGGAAGGGTCACATGTGGAGATAGGACCCAGGTGTGGATGAAATGGACATGAGAGTGAGGGATATGAATTCTGATAAAAACATTTTCTCTGATCTTCATTTCTTTGCCTTACAACAAACAGAATCTGTCTTCTCTCACTGCAGAAGGAGGCGGGGGGTCGCAGGGAGTGGGGGGGGGGTGCTGCCTCAGACAAAACTCTTTTATTCTGCTCTGCAATAGGAATGGGGGGCTGCACATTCGTAGTGAGACAGAAGTTAGTACCTTAACTGCTAGAAAACCACTAGCCAGGATATTAAACACAAAAATAGCTCACTTATAAGAAAAACCCCAAAAACCACATAGCTGGCAAGGAAGTCTATGACCTGGGTGAACAACAGGCGATGCAATTTTAGCTATTAGCATAAGAAGCATAGGACTTTTGTAATTAACCAATCAATATTATATGTTATGGAGGCATTATTAGGGGAAGGGCAAAGGAGGTATATGGGACTACCCTTCGACTATAAGAATTGTTGTATGACCTTGTTAGCTTTTCGAACCAGAGTCCTTCCTTATATTTTGGTACCAAAATAAACATATATACACCTTGTGTCCAGTGACTTCTCGGCTTCGATACCAAGCCAGAACCCAGTTTTGGGGACAACAGAAGGAACCTACAGCTAAGGAGAAAATTCCTAAAAAATGGAACCGCTTGCCTTCAGAGCAGAGGTGAAATCCAGCAGGTTCTGACAGGTTCTGGAGAACTGGTAGTGGAAATTTTGAGTAGTTCGGAGAACCGGCAAATACCACCTCTGGCTGGGTCCCAGACTGGGGTGGGAATGGAGATTTTGCAGTATCCTTCCCAGTGGTGGGTTCCTCCTGGTTCGGTCCGGTTCGGCCGAGCCGGTAGCAGTGACGATATGACGTCACCGAACCGGTTCTCCCCCCCCCCGCCCTCCCACCCCCACCCCCCCACGTTATTCTTACCTTTTATTTGGTCCCACCCCCAATCTATTGCTGCCTCCTGAGTCCCAGCTGATGACTAGAGGGAAAAAAACTGTTTAAAC